GGGAAAGCCATTAAAATTAATGCTGGTAAACAAGGATAAAAACCAGCAGGGTTGTAACAAAATTTGGACCAGATTGGGTTTCCCAGCTGTCGTGCTGCACACTGTCTTAAAGGCAGCAGGCAAAGGGAGGGGGTAAGCTGAGTGGAGAAAGCTCTTGTTGGAGGGAGCTGTGAGCTTGGGGTTGGGAGCATCTGGCCTCCAGTGGCACCGGTGTCGTGGTCCAGCACTTTAATCCACTCAGGCCCCGCTGTCTCTTTTTGGGAAGCAGTGATGCTGTTTTGTCTGATGGTCATTATATCTCATATCTGTTCATGTAATGGTTATCTACTCTCTTCCAGGGGCTGCCCTTAAAATCCAGGCCCTGCTCTAGGGCTCTGGGAAGGTGTGGTTGCTGGCTGCAGGTGTTTTGTGTGAGCACATTTGGGAGCAGATTTCAGGCTGTTGGGACAGTGAGTTGCTCCAAGAAGCTGATTGTCAGAGTTCAGATGAGAGGTGCAAAGGGGCACGGTGATTCCCCTCTCCGTTTTGTCTGCTCCAATGTGAATGGGAGCATGCTTAGGCTGGACAGAGTAAGGATTACTGGGGATGTGGGTCCACTGTCCTGGGAGGAAAGCTCAGGTTTGATGCCTTGTCTCATATTGGTGGTGGGTATGAGCTAAATAGGGCCCAGACCATCCCAGGGAAAACACCCTGGCACAGGAGCTGTGTGTTACTGCACTGTTCTAGGTAAAGGGCTTTTTCTAACCCCACAGCATATTAACATAAGCCAGTCAACTTCTCTGAAACTCCTGGCACCAGATATTCAGCTGACTTGGTGCTTTGGAATAGGTCAAATCTAGTATAACCAAGCCAAAGTGTCTAGCCCTGGAACTGAAGTAATGGCCCATATTTTCAAGTGACCACTGATTGATGAGTGAGAAGGGAGAGGTACAAAAACCGTTAGCTACTTTCTTGCAGTGCCTGAGAGACTTAGATAGTATGTTTGAAAACAAAGAAGTCAACAGTCTCATCTCTGAGCACAGCCATCTTCAGCATAGATGAACAACATAGATGCCAACAGCCATAGAAAACTCCCCAGTCCACCAGTCAGTGTAAATAGCAGCAGAAGGATCCTTTGGTTCTTCAAGCAGCACCATATACCTTGTATCTCCCTAGTGAGGTTGTATTTGCTCAGATTCCAATGATTTTGATGGCCCTGTCCTGGATGGTCAGTTTTTGCAGGACAGGTTGGGTTCTGGTGGAGTCTCCACACAGCAACTCTCAGAGTGAAGTGAAGCTGCTGAGATAAAGTGCTGCAATGTCTCCAACCGAGTGCAGGGAACTAGAGCTGTATGTCTAAAGTCATCCTCATCAAAGAGATGAGGGAAAGTCTGGGCAGGTCAAGACCGATGCTGGAACTGAAAGCAATGTGGAGAGAGGCCCAACACACAAGTCTTCTTCTGGAGCCCTCGTTCCTGGGGGAACCCACAGGCTGCCTCTATGGGGAGACATCAGCTCCTTTTCTCCAGTGAAACTGCCAGCAGGTTGCTATCTCAAAGGTACTGTATGTGAGATGGACAGAGGTGGAGAGCTTTCTTTTGTTTTTCATGAGACATCACCAAAGAATCAGGGTGACAGAATTGTTTTTGTGGAAGTGACTATGTGAAATATTTTTTCATTTTGATTATTTGAAAACCAAAACTGTTCATGGGTTTTAAAATTCATGTCCCCTCCGGGTTGCTTTGCTTTGTTTTGTTTCTTATTCCTTCTCCCTTATTCCTCAGAGGGAACCATCCAAACCTAAATAGTGTGTTATTTCTTGAGGAAATGCAATCGTTTTCCAGTCGAACCTAGGCTGGAAATGCTTCTGGTGATTCTTTTGTCTGAGAAATTTAAAAAAGCTTGGGTAGAACAGAAACTAAGCTGGTTCAGGGGAAGCTTTCTTGTGTTTGAAGACCCACTTGAGTGGGGGAGTTGTTTCAAAAGCTTTTTATTGGAAAAAGAAAATTTTGATAGGCTTTGTTTGGAGACTTGGGCTCCAGCCATTCTTCTGTTGCAGCTTCTTGTATGGTACCAAGATCTGGAGCCTGGCCATCCCGGTCCCAGCTTCCCATGCTTCCTGCATTCCAGAGCTGTGCCACCCCTCACCGAGTCCTACCTTTTGAGCCCTTTGCTTTCCAGGGTCACCACTTCTGCAGGGTAGGATGGAGATGATGCCATCTTTGCCTTGACTATACTTTGTACCAAAAGTCCCTCCCAAGCACAAGGATCGTATGGGTGTAGAGCGGTGCCTTGAGTGCAGCAGGGACCTTCTGCTATCGCACAGTGAGGGGTCCAGGTCCCACATTGATCATTACAGTCTGCTCAAGCTCCTCACCACCAAGAACCTCTTTCTGAGGTTTCCCAACATCCAGTGAGGTTCAGAGCCAGCAGTAGAAAGGCAGATGCAGTGGTAGTAACCACCACAAAGTCCCCTGCAGAATATCTCTCTTTGGCTTTCAGTTTCCCCACCTATAAAACAAGCGTGTTTTAATGGTGTGCTCTTCGAGGCATGGCTTTCTGTTCCCTCATACAACAAGGAGTTGTGGAAAGGCAATGGCTGAAATCAGATGAGCTGGTCTGTCACATCTCAAGAGCAAACATGGGTTTTGGGGGCTGTTCTCCTTGGGATGTCCCAGAAGTAGCTCGATCAGAGGCAAGGTGCATCACAGAAACAGGACCGTGCTGAAGAGTCTTGGGCAATGGGGATGCTTCACATGGGACAGG